ACTCTGCTTTTCATTCGCTTTCATGTTTCACTTTGCTTTAGTGGATCAAACCATTTTCCTCGTCGTAACCTAAACCTATGTCTAAAAGTTACTAGCATTCCTTTTGATCGGGCTTTCTGAACTGTTCTCGACAGGGAACTCCCGGCGCTTCCCTTTAAGAACTAGGGGTTGTCGTACCTCCGTATTCATAACATTCCGAAAAATAGTTGCCTTTAACTGTGTGGTTGTTTGAGGGTTGTGAACTACCGATGGGTTGTTGGCGCACAAATGGGCAATATATCGCGCCGTCCATGAGGCACCTGCCGAGTGTCGGGTGAAAGTCTAACTGGAAAATCATGACAAAACCATCCAAACGAAGATGAAAGTTCTGATTGCCGATAGTTTCGGAGCGACCCTCTACTTGTATCGGTCGCGTTAGGTGAAAACTCCTCTCCAATACCCGGTCGCATGCACTTTTGGTTTACAAGTTGCTTAACCAAAATACCTCGCTACCTGTATTGACTGAGATTCACTTTAAAGATAGCTGATAAGGTCGCCTGTTCGATACCTGGTTGCATTTGGATGGAATACATTTCCTTGTGGTCTAGCGAGAAATCGCTAGCTCGTGAACTTTGCTATATCATTACAAATTTGGTTTATGCGCCTGCTGGTTAGTGCTCACCTCAGGTCAAAGTAGTATCGGGGCCTAACCGCGGGAGGCCTTGGTTTCTTCTGCCTTTTGCGGCGTAGGTTTGAGGTTGCCTCCAAACTTAGCCCATCTTCAGAAGACTTTGTTTTTCATTCCCTTCCATGCTTTGACCTTGCTTAGGTGAGTCAAGCTGTCAACGCCCTCGTGGACGTTGCTGCTGCCGTCGTAGAGGCTCCGGTTCTTCCAGTACACAAACAGGAGCAACTAGTGGAACAAGCGAATGCCTTCGACGGCCTGCGTCAAGCTACAGCTTACGTGAACGCCTGCCTGGACCAACTGACGAAACGCCTGATGTCTGCGTCTGTTCAGGTGAGTTCCATTCCGACGCCTCGTGCTGCGTCCAGCTCCAGAGTCGCTGTTTTTCGTTATAACTTTACCTGATGATAATTTTTGTTTTTGTTGTCTTCAGGCCCAGCAGGACCCAATAGTGATGAGCCTGTTGGAGTCGGAACATCAGATCCCTGCCACGCTTGGTGACGGCGAAGCCTTACTGCGTCAGGCTGAGCATCTAGTACAGACAACAGGTGCTCTGATCGAAGAACTCCGCAACAACCAAGAACTCTTGTCCGCTGCCAATGTATCCGGAGCGGAGGCTGCGATTCGTGCCGATCTCCTTGTCGCTGATGCCTCCCACCTGCTTGAAGCCATGAAGGTTAGCCACCTCCAACCTTCATAGTTTTTGAGTACGCGATAGACTGCGACGCCATTTAATATAGTTTGTTCTGCAAAAGTC